GTACACTGTACGAGTCCCGCCCCGTATATTGTACGACTTTCGCTTTGTACGATTTGCATTTCTTGCATGATTCAAATAACCACATCTTGAGAAAAAGCATTAAAAAAATTGAAGTCTTAAAATTTGCTGTTGTTTGATGCTTTTCGATAGGAAAACCAAGAATAAAACTCAGTTATGACGATTTGCCATAAATGCGATATGAGAGACAAAACCAAAAACGTCCCGCCTTCACCCAATTCTCCAAACTAGAATAAATCCACAAGAAGAAGCCTTCTTTCAATTATTTAATCAAGAACATGTTCAGTAAAAACTGAACCAACAACTGCGATGAATGGATTGAACAAAATTCGACTTTGAGAAAGAAAGTGAGATTGCTTAGAGTATTCGCTAGTGTGGCAGACGATTGATTTCAGGTTAAAGTTAACATAGATTAACAGAACCATGATACAATAGAAGCACGAAACAGAAAAATTTCTTAAACAGCCACAAACGAGAAAATCTTTTTCGGCGTGGAGATCGTTCTTTGAACACGAAGATTTTAGGAGAAGAAACACAACCGAACATTCTATCAACCAAGAATATACCCACATAAAACATAATCTCTCATGAATCCAAATATGGAAAAACAAACAAATACGATAAGAAAAGTAGGGTTTGCTTAAAAAGGCAAGTCAGGTTTTATAACATCATCGAAATGGATCGATGGGGATAAATGATGTTCGTATGGGTCTTATTTAACACCCATGAGGTTGAGGTACGACTAGAGTGACTAAACCTGCAACTCACACAATGAATCCAAAAAGCAATGAGAGACGAAAAACGAAGACATGTAATTCGAAGTCAGTGAAATTTTGTATGAAGATGTTGATGAACTATAGTAGAGCAATTCCATATTGAAGTCATTGGAGCACAATCTATCAAAAAATTGAACTGTTTGCAACATGTAAATGAAAGAACTAGTGAGATACACAAAGCCATCCTTCACATAATGTTACAATAACGCGGTCATCTTACAGCTATAGATAAAGTAGGATTCAAAAAACAGTTCATTGGAACCCGAGCTATGCAGTTTGGAAGTAAGAATTTCATGCTAGATCATTATGAGAGTTTTCGGTCTGACACTCGTGTAGGGCAACTAAGGGAGTTATCCAAATCGAACCCAGAAATGAATGACAAATATAAACTATCGCAGACTAGAGGTTACAAAATGAAAGAAGTACGAAACAATCCAGTAAGTTCATGCACTGATACTCGAGAAGAAAAAATATTTCAAAAAATTGGTATACGGGGACTGGATATAGAGTCGGAAATAAAAGAATTGAGAAGCAAAGAAAAAAAACTACGAGAAGTAAGAAAAACTGGGAAATAATTTTTATTACGATAACAGGGCATA